GACCAAACCAATGCCATTCAACTCTGCCGTTCAATATAATCAAGGTACGTGTGTGTGTGTTTCACCGACAGTCGTGATGGTAAGCACAAGACCAGTGAACTCGTCAGCCTCAATTTATCCATATGTTGTTATATCCTAGTATCTGAACATGTCCAATGAGACCGAGTGATTGACGTTTCTAGAGTCGGATAACAAGACGAAGGTACTCGTTAAGAGCGACTAGTATCCAATGTGTGGTTGTGAATTCGTATGTTCACTGAGACAAAGTGTTTTGCAGCATTAGCAGTTGATTGTGGTTACTCTAATGACCTACTGTTTCAGATTGCTTCGGTTCCACTTGGATGATCGGATATTATCAACAGTCGTCTGTTCATTGAGTCGACTGACCACTGGACAGAGCTGCAGTAAACAAGTGTGCGGTTGAACAGTGATTGAAATTGTGTTCCATTGTGCACACTCACATACAGATAGAGTTCGATTAAGCCGAGTGACTACAGACTGCATTCCTCAGCGTTTCTCTAATAATATGATTATTTTTTGTTCTGTAGGTGTGGACGGCTCCAAACCCAATATAGTTTTCATCGATGACGAAGATGATAAATTCAACTTTGAGCATGCCAGAAATTTAGATTCTTCAAACTCACAACTGCGTCCTGAAAACCATAATATTGACAACCCCAATCCTGCAAATTGTACACCTGAGCGCTATCTCGAAATGAGAAACCGAAATGTTGGTCAACACTGGTATCCAGGAGTTCCTCGTCCAGACATTGGACAGTACTATTGGTACTATTGAAACATTGAACCGAGATGGATCTACATTTGACTCAGAACAATTCTCATATCTCAGTATCAACGATTTCTCCAAATTCCTCTTCACATCATCACAATTCACATACACCATATCATCTCCAGTTGTACTATTCTACTCATTTGTCTAACCATTAAATATACTTAATCCCACATCAACGATTTCCTATCGTCTTCCATCATCTATGACCTGATCATGCTGAGTATGTGGGATGCCACGAACTTATGGTATTGAAGCTGATCTATTCACGCAAAATACCTCTTTAAGTCGTGTTACGAACGTTGAATTGGTTTCACTTCCTACCCAGAAATCCTATTACAAGCAAACTAGACAATTCGCTAATATACGAAGCCTAATCAAGACCCTATAATAACTGGGGAAAAATATTTTTAAAAAAAAACGAAAGGGGCTCTAACAGCTTCGATATTAAAGGGAAGACAGTCAAATGTATATCACAATACTGTTTCTAGCACTATATTTTATTTTATAATCACACATAATCTTATACTCTCAGCTCTTTTCCGAATCGCCCCCATTTGTCAGTTGTATGTCCACTCACACCTTGTCAACACCTATTTTCTTTAACCTATTAAAATGCTCTTTCTTAACATATACGTTAATAAAGGAAAATTAGACTGAGTAATCATACCTTAAGCATTCCTTCATGAATATTGGCTACTCTGCCTCTCGTGTTTTCTTTTACTTGCTCCCTCTTTCAGCCCCCCTTGAGATATGGAACTGGTGACTTCATCCTGCACCATCCTTAAAGCCTTGGATATCCCAGAAGGAAACAAGGTTGCGATTTTTAGAAGCCCATACCTTCAATGGACCTATCCTTGACCATCAGTCGCACATTCGCAACGCAACATTCATGAAGCGCGCCAACTGTGGTACTGATTTAAACCATCGACATTCATATCTTATAAATTATCAACCCAGCTATGTAATTTATCACAGTGTATATTGTATCATTTGTATCAATTTGATCTTGCCTGTAAACTGGCATGCCTCATGTAACAAACTGTTATTTGAGAATAAATTATTATTATTATTATTATTATTATTATTATGTGAGGCTTTCAACTGTGTCTTGCCTTAATTCTGTGTTTGCTGTGATAACGATTCTCTGAACGTCATGTTCATCAGATGACACCTACACAATATCGTCCCGATTGTTTGGACGAGTTATTAAGCTCTTGTTATACACTGTTAAACTCGGCGTATCTTGTATACCTTTAGCTTATATGTATAAGTTTTCCCACATGTTACCATATTCATTTTATATTTCACCAGTATTTTGTATAAGCTCACGGACGAGCTTGAAGCCAGATACACAGTAAATGGTAATAGACAAATCAGTTTCATTCCAATGATATATAAGCAGATACCTTCAAACGGTTGTAATTACTCCATTCAGTCTGCTGTTCTTAGTGCAACACAGATATTTCGCACATATCTTTGTTGGAAGTGTGGAGTTATTATGGCAACTATCCTACAACCAATTTCGATTAGGGTCAATTTCGCTTGAGCTTTTTATTAACTTGCTTAACTGACAACGTTATTCGAATAGTAACAATTCTCATATTTCTTTGTACCATTATGATCACTACCATATCTGTATAATTGAGTACGCTTGATCACATGACAGACTCTAGCGACAATCCCAATAGCTTGAATATCGCACGATGATCCATTCTCTTCCCCATGTATGTGTATACGCGAATGCTATTATTAGGCTCTGTCTAGCCTTGCTGTGCTCTGATTCGATTTGACTATAAATTTGCCTCTGTATTCGCTCGCACACACGCGTTCGCCTCCTTGGTTCAATTTCGCTCGATGTGCTTATTGCTCTGATATACGTGCTATCCGCTGATAATCTGTAGTTGCCGCTTCTTATTGCATTATGATTTCAAACATTGTTGGAATGTGTATGATAACGGTTACAAAGGTGATGGATTAACCAGTCAAATCTACCACAGTATGATCACAGATGAACAAACCGAATCACAGTCAACCGAACATTTTCATTTCTCTGAACTTGGTATTCAGTTACCTTGATAATCAACTCTCAATTACTGATGAAGTTTGAATTGTTGATATTTTCTTTGTGTACTGTACGTTGCTGTGATCTTAGTAATCAATCGTTGTCCAGCGGTTCCGTTACATTTCTGACGAGTACTTGCATTCAAACGACCCGTTTTGGTCTTTTGCTCGTACTAGCTCATAGATTGAACAAATGATGTGACTCGTCTCGTCAGTAGTCCACTAAATTAGGGTTTTGTGCTATATTATTGTCGACGTAATTTTCAGTCTTCTCTGTCCTTTTTTGCTATTTCTCGGCCATTCTGACCTTCGAACTTTCTTTGGCAATGCCATTATTTACTAAGCTTTTCTTTATTTCATCTTAAATTTTGATCTTATTTTCGTACGGTTCTTTAATTTATCACTTGTTTACAATAATGATATCAAACAGTAACTATCCCGCATCTGTGATCCTAGAAATAAGTTTGTTTGTCTGTAGGTGTTTTATGTATTTGTAAACTTTTCAACAAACACTTTTATGCTAGTATTAACAATATGGCTATTTGTAATATTCTTGAGTATTTGAATTCTACTATGAACTAAGGATCCCAGTAATTACGTAATCGTATCAAGAAGTACTAGACAACCACAAACGAATGTGCTGTAATTATAATTCGAAATCAAGCATTCAACAAGTACAAAGGTATCATAATTCACTCAAACACCACACTATTCCTTAGTGTCAGTACGTTCACTGTCATCTTATGCAGTACACATTTGTAACCTCGAAATAGATCGCCAACAATGTTGACCCACAAACTCAACACACAATTTATTAAGGTGTAGTGATCCTTCACTAGACCTACTATTATTCTTAAATCACCACTTCTCAAATGCAGGAACGAATTAACCCTTGAAAACCTGTAAGTCATGACATGAAATTAGGTGCATTACTCAATGCATCAGCTGCTACTGGGTTTTACTTGTTTGGTAAACTAAGTAGCATTTTGTAGTGCTTTGAAAATATGTATGGATGAATGACGTAAAAATTTTCTTTACTGACCGAGGTTTACTCTATTTAAACTGAAATGATGTGACCACTTAGCTTACGTAGACGTCACAAGGAATTAATATCGAAAGTACATTACCTTTTTGTGAACTCCCAGTACTGTAGCTATTTTAACGGAAATGTAGAACGAATATGGTCACAATAAAGAAAAGGATTGTAAGAAAATGCTAGAGAAATACAACGTAACGTCACAGCCGCATGCGCCAGTTCACGATGTGAAGTTAGTTAATTCACGCTAATCCTCGTTCACCGTCACGACGTCCAACAAACTGTCCAACTCCAAGTGATCTGTTGTGTAACGTGGGAGAGGTCCAGCTTCATGACTAATTAGGCTGGGGCTCAGTGATATTTCATTTGACGTACGTGTAATTTACATTTTAAACCTCATCTATATGTGACCTGAAGTTGGATTGCCCAGGACCGTCCAATTCGCAGACATGTCGTCATAAGTAGATCATTATTTGGACTGAAGAGAGAGCATTGGCCATACTTGGGGGAATTGTGATGTTAATTCCAGTCATATGCGATATGATGTGTAATGAAATTCTTAATTAGCACAAACACTACGCTTGTTCTATAATGATGGATATAGACAGCTACTCCATATTTAATAAGGATACCAACACAGTCAGAAGTATTTAATGTGTAGACCTGAGGTTAATGAAAGATCCTTTTGCAAGAAGCAAATAAGATACCCGAGTGATTTCTCTTTATCCGTTCGTAGAACGCAAGATAACCTTATATTCGTGTTGCAGCTGACCAAATATATCGTAACCAAAATAGTGAAATCGTTATCCGTAATAATAGTTCGAGTGCTATCATTAGTCATTGTTTTCTTCTCTCTGAAGCTGATCAGCTCCAATGCCATCAGAAGCTCTGATTTAATAATCGCAAAGTGTAATTTTATTTTACGTATTAATTGGTGAAAGACGGAATGTTTCCTGTGAAGAATTGGTCGACAGTTTCAAAAGAACACAGGACCTTCACGTTATCGCTTGCTGAGGAGAAAAACACTGGTCAGTCGATCCACTGTCGTAAATACCGAGGACTTAATTAGATCATTTTCCTGTCAAATGTTCAACCTTGAATGGATTCAGGATTGGCCCGCGCGTTCAACACTTTATTGGGAGGCTCGCATCGATCTTGTGTGTATTCACTATGAGGTGTCTCTCAAGACTTTTCGTTCCAATTGGGATTGAAGTTATAAAGATAGTTGTTTATGCTTATGAGTATCTGACATGGCCACTGTACTACTTATTCAGCAAAACATTGAGATATATGCCGCTGCCCAACTCTCCTGTTGACAGCGACTGGACATATAATGAAGAAGAAAGTCGAACTTTGGCACTTCCTGTACGTGAAGGTGATCCCGGTTCGCCATGGAGAGCAGTTGAGGCCCTCGATGGTCTGACGAGTTCACTTCCTGGATGTAAAGATTTGGTTGATGTTTGGCTCCGCACAGTTAAGCTGTGGCCTGATTTGCCTGCGTTTGGAACAAGAGCTGTCTTACGCACGGACTACCGAGTGAGTTTCCAACGGACGTTTTGACCACACTATTTAAGTAACTTCTTTAGATAAAGTAATGAAGCCAATATGAGTGTTGATATACGTAGTGGACGGTTTTTGTTTACACGATTATTTGATCGGTTATTCAGTCGAAGAAGTAACTGAAAAAAACTTTTCCTTCATTCCTACCGGAATGAGTTTCGAATTGCTGGATGATGGATTATACTAGTAATTTCAGAATACCAACACCAAGAATACCAAGTGTCATCAGAACGGACGACATAACTGCGTAACTTGTCACTCGATAAACTGGTTCGTTATATTATTATCCACTGAAGTTGGTTCCGGAGACAGCATGATCTGTTAATTCTAAGTAACATTTGTAAAGGCCGAAAATAGTTCGGATGGGTTATTGAAGCATTATTTGATACGTTTTATACTACTATTTCATTCTCTTTAGGACCCTACCATCCATTTTTAGACTACTATCATTAGTACTATGGCTCACAATTCTTTCCTATTCAAGTTTTACCTTCATTTTGCCATGTTGAAGTTGAGTGGGGGATCAGATTACCAGTCTGCTATTAACGTTACCCGTGAAAGTTTCCAGCGACTTGATCACTCAGAATCAGTCACTCATCAATGTACAGGTCCTCACCAGTATGTGTTTGATGAAATTGAACAGCAAGATCCACATTATTCTCACCATTCCAAGCTAGTTTTATATTTTTCTGTCTAATTAAATTGTTTTTGGAATGTTCCCACATTCAATGAAATAACACTACATCTGTTGACGAATATCTTGATATGAACCTTCTCAAGTACGTGCCAGAAACGTTTGTCTGGTTATTCCTTTCATTGGTTTAAAAGCTGGATGTTCTATGTGTACTTCCGGTCATCCATGGTTGTATAAGTGAAATAAAATGCCTGGTACTTGCTAGAATTGTGTATTCCATCTAATGGAAAGGTCATGAAGTGATATTGTTGCGAAACTATCATCTCGTTTCCATATTAATGTAAACCAAGCGGTTCATATGGTGTTCAGGGAATATGGATTCCTTAAACGCTTCTGTGTCAAGTAATGCTCACTTCTAAGTCTTAGTGTGTTTTCATTTTTTGGTGAGTATAATGGTAATTAGGTACTTCCTCATAAGAAATGATTCATGCATTGTGTTTATTATATATTCTAATTTCGTATGATTTTGTTCTACACTAGCCGAGTCCTGACGGACGACAAATGATTGAGCTCACTTTGGGTGAGTACTCTTGGGAGACATTTTGGGACGCCGAACGTCGAGTATCTCATCTAGCAGCTGGTTTGTATTCATTGTTGGGGTCCGTTAAGGAACATAATCAGCCCATTGCCCTATGCAGTGAAACAAGAGCTGAGTGGATGTTTGCTGCTCAGGCCTGCTTTCGTCTCAACCGACCTGTTGCTACTTTGTACGCTACTCTCGGTGACGATGCATTGGTACATGGATTTAATGAAACTGAAGTTAGTAAATTGTTACACTTATCAAATACATTTTTCACTGATTGCATTCATGTTACCTAGTTTATTGGCTCGTCTGACAATGTTTGCATATTTCTGAGTTTACTTAATATTTTTATCCACATTTTTAAAGATTAGTCTAAATTTACTATCAGATCCAACTATAGAGTATTCTCTTTGAAATGACGTAAATCAGGTTGTTCAATCCATTATCTAGATTGAGCTTCGATGGTTTGTGTTAAATCCTGGCTCAGGAAATGTCAGGTGTATCTTTTGAATGTAGCTTTTAGCGATTTGATAGTTTGATAATGTGTCACTTCGTTAACTGTGATACGTTAGTAGTTCAAGGTGCTTTAGACTAGATATAAGCTGGTAGTGACCAAGCTTAGTTAGTTGTAATATAAGCAGGAACTGTTAAAAATCACTTACATTTTCATTTATTAGCTTTGGTTCTTAATGTCAGCTTCTCGAGGATATATTCGGTGGGTTACGGTGAAAGTAACCAGTAAATATGATCAACCAAAGCTGTGGTTAGGAAAGACCGGTTAAATAATTGTTAATAGCTGGTGGCGGCAATCGACACAGTTTGATTGTAATAGCTAATAAATCTAGGGTGTTCTTATTAGTTGAATGTTGACTACTCAGCTACTGTTTTACGGTCCATGTAATTATCAAGGGAGGGGAGTTGAATGTCTTGGTAATATAACTACATAATTCTTAATCAGTACGTTCATCCCTGTAAATCTTGTTTTTGTCTCTATTATATTTTACACATTTAACGCTCCATTATGGAGTTATTTTTTCAGTACACTTATCTTGATCTTCGAACTGTATATATGTAGTTTAATGTAGCACATTTTCTGACGCATCATTGTTCCAAGTGTTTCGTCAAGATATAGGTCCGAAACATTTGTTGATTACGACGAGAAGCAACAAATGGAGTTTCAAATGATCCAAAGGAGTAACATAGTACAAAAGGTCTTTCATCTAAGTTACTATGTGACATAAAACATACTAAGGTTACGTGAGAATGTTCGTTAGCAATTTAAGCTCTTTTGATGCTGTCTCAATCCGACCTGTTGGTTACTTTCTCACTTACTCATAGTTTGGTGAACTGCAAGTAGTTTCTGTTCTAATTTAGTTTCACTCACAATATAAATTGATGTGTCCTCTTTCTATGTGACGATAGTTGGATGGTCAAGTTTGGAGGCAACACATGATAAAAGTACGGTAAGTAAGAGAATCGTTGTTTACGGGATTCACCGAGTGGGTTGCTGGTTTGGAACCCACTATACTTCAGCTTTACAACCTAACAGTGTCACTACCGTTCATACTGTAAGTGTAGAGTACTTTAACTTATCTGTACTTCATAAATTAGTAAACTAATTATATCAGCTCTCTGAGCAGGCTGAGTGTAGCTGGAACCATCGTGTAATGTGTTACATTAGCTGGAATTGTCTAACTACGATAATATTTCAGCTCAGCTGTTCAGTGATTATCATTGCGTTTTTACCTAATAACTTGACGATCGTTTTTATTGCTTGTTAGTGATTCTAATCAACCATCATATATTTTTTGCTTGTAACTTCAATTTGTTTAAACATGTTTTTGCATATTCAATAAAAAACTTTATGTGTGGACTTCATTTTAATCTCAGGCTGTAGTCGTGTTCACAAGCGATGAGCTCTTATCAAAAGTAATTAAAATTGTTCAACGGTGTCCTTCAATTCAACGTATTATCTACTTCACAAATGGAGTTTTTAATCGAGAACTTTACACAGAAGTTGACAACCTCGCTGTTCCTTCTGAAAGTGCTACCGCTAGTGTTGCAGAAGCTCTGACAAAATGTCCGTCAAATTTACATCTACACAATATAATCGAAGTTGAACGTTTGGGAGCTGCAGTAATCATGAAAGATAAAGAAAAGCGAAAAATGGGTGGTTCCACACCAATTACAGGGAATAATAATCACTCATCGAACGGTTATGAGGGTTTATGGATGCCTCCTGCATCAGAACGTGCCAGTCCCTCGGATTTAGCTGTGATTATGTACACAAGTGGATCAACAGGTATAATTTGTACACTTTCTTGACGATTTCAGTGTTTTCACTTATCCATCGATTTTAGTGAACTATTATAGTTTTCTTTATAGCTTATTTGTACCTATCAAATTCTTCAGTTTATTATTTTTTGACTATGCATATAAATATATAGACCTTGGAAATGTACCAGCAAGCTGTTTGCATGTATTCTAAAAGTTGAATTGTACGTAGAAAAGTGATTTATTGCCTGTACCTGAAAAGTTTTAGTGACAAATGTTACTCTGGTATTAGTCCTGAAAGTTGCGTCAGTATCTCGAAGAAAGTCTGTATTGAACCTTTGTAGTGCTGTTTGTCCAGTTGTCCAGTTATTCTTTAGCTTCAGATTTAAATTGACCACAACTAGGTGGTGATCTGAAGCTATGTCAGCTCCTCACCTGGTTCTCACATCTTCCATTGTCCTTCGGAACTTTTTATTGATGCAAATATGATCTATCTGGTTCTCTGTAGTGTGGTCCGGTGAGATCCATGTAGCTTTGTGTATACATTCATGTGGAAATATTGTGCCGCCTATGACCAATTTGTTGAATGCACATAGATTTGCAAATCTTTCCCTATTTTCGTTTCTCTGTCCCAGTCCATGTCGTCTCATGATATCTTCATATCCGGTGTTGTCTATTCCGACTTTGGCGTTTAGATCTCCCATCAGAATGGTGAGGTCGTTTCTTGGGCACTTTTCTATGGTTGATTGCAGCCGCTCATAAAATCGATCTTTCATGTCGTCGTTGCTATCATTGGTGGGTGCATAACATTGGATAATATTCATTGTGATCCCCTCCTTCTTTGTTTTGAATGATGCTTTGATGATTCTGGATCTGTGAGGTTCCCATCCTACAAGTACATTTCGTGCTACTTTGGACAGCATAAGAGCAACTCCCTGAGTGTATTGAGCATTTTCCTCTTCGTGACCGGAGTATAGCAGCATCTCTCCCGTATTGAGCCTTTGTCGTCCAGCTTGGGTTCAATGGGTTTCGCTGATTCCCAGTACTACTAATTTGTACCTCCTCATTTCCGTTGCTATTTGACTGGTCTTCCCGGTCTCCCACATTGTTCGGACGTTCCATGTACCTATAAAGATTGTTGCTATGGTTGTTAGAAGGGGCATCGGCCTTGTGGCTTCCGAAGGAACTCGGCTTTCACCATGAAGCGTCACAGTTCTTCTAAATGAAGACCTTCTAACTCCCAGGGCAGAGTTTGAATAATTTTTTCTGGTTAGCGTTTTTTTAGCGAGTTAGTTTTCTACAGGATGGGGTCGCTAACCCTCCTCCTTTATGCGGGCTTGGGACCGGCAGTAACTCTAGAAGAGCTACAGGCGGAGTTAAATTTTCATACAAACTAAAAATTGTTTACTCTACGCATTAGTTTATAAACGAACAGCATATATACTAGATGTGAACATGTATTTTGTGCATTGGGTGTGGTCGTCATAACTACATTATTGTTCACCTAAAATTTATTGTTGAAAGAATACATATACAGATTAGTCACGATTGTATACATGATCCACTGTTATATTAGTATACTAGAGTAAAGCCTGATGAGGATCTAATCGAAAACAATATTGTTCGTTTATATATATTGTTCTATATTAGTTAGCTTAGAAAATTATATCTAACAAAAATGGGAAATTCTCTTATAATTTTTCAGTTCGGGAAATGTTGTTGACATTAAAACAATCAAAAATAACAATTTTATATTTCAACTGAATTTCTCTTAACTTTCATTGCAATTTTTATTCTGATTAATTAGTCAAAATATTTTTAAAGTTATTTATGGAATTTATATTTTCGTTCATTCCTAAAGCATATTACAAACTTTTCAGTGTTGTGTCGTTTTCATTAGTTTTATGGTCACATAATGGCTTAGTGCATTTTTGGCGATAGCTATATAAAAATGACTAAATCTAATTTCTGGTAGTTTATTTACTACATATTTTCTAACTCCACTTCAGGCAACCCAGTTTTGCCACTAGCAACTTATGTCAAAGTTTGAGCCGAACACATAGAACAGTGATTATAAAGTTACGTTATTACTGTTACCAATTAGTTTGGTCATAAGTGGCTGGTATTTTCCTTTTCTTCACCACCTATTCTTATTAAGTTAAAACACAAAAAAGCTTGATGTACCAAAATCACCTACCTCACATTGATTTCCTTTATTTAAAATAAACGAACAACTTTCAACCACCTTAATCTCAACTTATTTGATAGTTTGTTATTGTTGCTTTTGTAAGTTTTGACTCGGTTAAACACATATTCCTTGGACTAAATGAGTATTTTGTTATAACGTATCAGCTTGATAATGAGAATATATTTAATTCAAATTTCAAGTTGTGTTCCTTTTTTATGTTGTATAGGTCAACCTAAAGGCGTTGAAATGACTCATGAAAATTTAGTAAGCGCCATAGCTGGTCATCTACAACGTTTACCGAAACTTCGTAGTAATTACGACATATATGTCGGATATCTACCACTAGCTCATGTTTTAGAGCTTACCTGTGAATTATCCTGTGTCATTATGGGTGTACGAGTAAGTTTCATGACAACTTCCTTCATACTTTTTTGTTACAATATTCTTGTTTAAAATAGTCAGTTTAAATTACAGTAAAGAGAAACAACTGTATTTGCTTATACCCGTTGCCTCTCGTGGAGGAGCAAAGGCCACCTATCAGCGTTCTCTATCGAACTCTGTCATGGGCAATCCTTTTCATGTCTGTTTCTAATTCCCGATGTAGTGTGTTCTTCGACCTTCCTTTTTCCGTTTCTTTTTAGGATTCCAATTTAGTGTTTGCCTCGTGATGTATTTTGGTGGTTTCCGTAATGTATGTCCTATTCATATCCAACGCCTTTTCCTAATTTCCTCTTCAACTGGAAGCCGATTCTTTTCTCTCCCACAGTAGGCTGTTGCTAATGGTATCCGATAAACGGGCACTGAATATTTTGTGTGGACAATTGTTATAAGTACCTGTACCTTTTTGATTATGGTTGTAGTAGTTCTCTAAGTTGCAGCTCTGCTCAGTGGAACTGTCTTGACGTTCGTATTTAAGATTCTGACCTTGATGTCGGTTGACAGTTGTTTTGACTTCGGTATGTCCTTCAACGGTAGGAATACCGCCCTTGCTTTAGCAATCCTTGCCCTCACATCTGCATCGAATCCTCCATGTTCATCAATGGTGCTGTCCAGGTTTGTGAAGGTTTCCACCTCTCACAGTGCTTCTCCATCAAATGTGATTGGGTTGGTATTCTCCGTGTTGTATTTGAGGATCTTGATTTTTCCTTTGTATATGTTGGGGCCTACTGATACTGATGCGGCATCTGTTGCTACATTGGTTTTCACATGCATTTGTTGGTGTGTATGGAATAGAAGGGCCAGGTCATCTGAAAAGTTTAAATGTCTAGTTGTGCATCCAAGCTGTCCATTGTGTCCGGTGCATCCCCTGAGATGTGGACTTCATAATTCAGTCAATCATGAAGAGAAAGAGCAAGTGTAAGCAGCCTTGTCTGACTCCGATTCTCCCTTGAAATGCACCTATCAGCTGTCCTCCATGCACCACTTTCCAGTGTAGTCCATCATATGAATTCCTTATGATGTTGACGATTGAATTGATTGCCCAACAATGATCCATATTGTCGCGATTCAGTCTGTACACGACCGATCCTTACAGAATCCAACCTGTTAATCTCGAAGCTGGACATTCAGTGAATCTTTCATTCGGTTCGGCAACACTGTTGGAAACTTTCCGTGGTACCGACAGTGTGATGCCTCTTAGTTCTCACACTTACTGAAATCGCTCTGGTTCACTGTATTTTCTTGCTAGTTTCTTCGTTGCCTCATATAGTTGTTTCATATTTCCTTCTCTTGTAGTTTCTTCTGCTGCCGCTGTTAAGTCTTCTACGTATTTCTGCTTGTTAGCTCTAATGCTCTTCTTCACTTGCTTGTTCGCTTCTGTATATTCGGCCTGTGCCTTAACTTTCTCTGTTCTTGTCCGACTGTTGTTAACTGCTATCTTTTTTGAATCCTGCCCACGTTTTCGATAGAGATCCATACCTCCTGCGGTTCAGCACTTCCCGACATGCTGAAGTTAATGCTTCTTTGATCCCTTTCCAATTGTCCTCCATAGTAGTTTCCTCTTCTCTAAGTAGATCTTGTAAGGCTTGAAAGCTATCTTGAATTCGTTGATTTTATCGGTATCTCGAAGAAAGGCTGCACTAAACCCTTATAATGCTGTTTCTCCAGTTGTTCATTGCTTCTTTAGCTTCAATTTCATCTTGGAAACCACCAGGTTGTGATCTGAAGCTATGTCAGCTCCTCTCCCTGTTCTCATGTCTTCCATTGACTTTCTTAATTTTTTAGTGATGCAAATATGATATATCTGGTTTTGCGTAGTGTGATTCGGTGATACCCATGTAACTAGTATATGCGTTTGTGGAGGAATATTGTACCACATATAACTAGTTTTTTGAATGCACATAGATTTGCAAATCTGTCACTATCCTTGTTTCTTTCTCCCAGTCCATGTCGTACCATGCTATCTTCATACTTGGTGTTGTCCATTCCGACTTCGGCATTTAGGTCTCCGATCAGGATGGTCAGATTCTTTCTCTATGATCGATTGCGATCTCGTAAAACTAATCTTCATCGTCGTCGTTGCTATCACTGGTAGGTGCATATCACTGGATAACATCCATTGTGATCCCCTCGTTCTTTGTACTCTTTGATGATTCTTGGTCCATGAGATTCGCATTCTATAGGTTTATGTCGTGCTTCTTTGGACAACATCAGGGCAACTCCCTGAGTGTGTGGAGCATTTTCTTCTTTGTGGCCAAAGTACAACAATGTCTCCTGAATCTAACTGTTTCTGTCCAGCTTGAATTCAATGCGTTCCACTGATTCCGAGCACTGCCAATTTGTATCTCATTTCCGTGGCTGTTTATTTAGTCCTTCTGGTCTCATACATTGCCTGGACATTCCATGTACCCTCATTAATTGTTACTCTGGTTGTTAGAAGGAATATATCGTCCTCGTAAATTCTGAAGAATATCGGCTTTCACTAGGAATCGTCATGATTCTCCTAGATGAAGATCCTCCAACTCCCAGGGCAAAGTTTGAATGGTATAAAGGATTTTTTTCTGGTTAGCGTTTCTTAACAAGGTTGTTTTGTACGGGAAGTGGTTGTTGAGCCCATACCCAACCCTCCTCCTTTATCCGGAATTAAAATCGACAATAACCGTAGAAGTGCTACAGGCGGAGTGATATGAATTTCTTTTATTTCATAAATTCTTTCCAGTTGCTTACAATTTAAAAACTAGTTTTAATTATTAAAATCAAAATAAGTCTTGGTTAATGTTAATATTGACATAGATGTAGAATAGTATTTAAAAGACAATTATTATAAAAGGATTAAATGGTTTGTATACAGTTGTTGACTGGAAAAAAGAGTTCAAGACGTAGTTGGTTGGAGAATCCTGGCCTATGCTCCACAAGGGGTAATAGGCGTAAGTAAGGATAATATGAATATACGAATATCTTAGAGTAAACTGAGTAAAGCATAAAAACAGGATTCTAGAAGATCAATTTCAGAGGTTTTATGATACTAAATGCCACGGAGTTAACTGAGTCAAGTTTAGCTTAGGAAACGAAAAGAAAAGGAAAAGAATTAAGGGTGTGAGAAAATCAGTGTCACGTAGCCAATTCTTAAAACTATGGTCATCAAGGCAAAGAACAATCGACAACGTTGTTCTTCTAAGCTCAAATTTGGTTTAAATCTTTATATATTAACGGCTTTGCTAAAGCATAAACTTCAGATAAAAGTTTATACTTTATGTCTTATAATACAGATGTCAACCAGTCAGTCACAACGTAGAACCTGGTACATATGTACATCGGTTCAATGTGCCATACTCCATTAGCACAAAGCAACGAAGTTCTCAGGTCAAACCCTAGAATAGTAGAGGTAGTAACTATCAGTGGTAATAGAAAAGATTAGATACGATCCAAGGAGAAAACATAAATTAGTGAAGTTAAGACCAAAAAAATTTGTGAGGAATTCAGGAGCTACCTATTCCTTTTTACATGGCTAAGAAAATTGTCAGTGGTTCCATAGACTGATACCATGTTTTTGGTTTGGCCGCCCCTATCTTTCTTCCAGCCTACTTCTGCACCAGAAAACACCACCCATCGAGGTAGGGGGTGGTTGGACATACGTAACGCATGTCCTAAACACCTCATTTGATGAAGATTTACTAACTCGTCAATCGATTTCTTGTTCTTACTCAGTATCCTACTCATAATCCTGGTATTGCTTACTCCGTGGTCCCGAAATACATGAGCGATGTTTGGAGACATATTTAATCAAATACCAGTAACATACAGATATCTTCTACTCTCGGTGACCATGCTTCACATCCATCCTCTGTGCAGTAAACTCGTTCTTTAGTTGAAAGACATCATGAGTTTGTCGTTATATACAGTCAAAGTGAACTTGATGCACATCTGTATATGATTGCTAAGCTTTATTATATTGTCATAAATTTTTCACAGATTGGTTACTCGAATCCACAGACATTAACAGATACTTCATCCCGTATTAAACGAGATCACTGCTTGGGTGATGTCAGTCTTCTTCGACCAACTCTTTTTGCCAGTGTGCCGACTGTATTAGAACGTATTTCTAAGGCTGTCTGGGAAAAAGTAAACGCTGGCGGTGAATTTCTTCAAGCTGTAAGTTTACATCAAAATGTTTCTAATTGATATACTCTACGTTAAAGATTCTGATTTCATTAATAAATCTTTCTAGCGTCACCATCATTAATAAGTAATGTAATAAGCTTTCGTTTATTGTTTCATTTATTATAGATCAAAAAGTACTGATATTCATCTCTGTGGTAAACAGTAGTTAACTTATTGTATTGATTGATCTTTATGAAATTCCTTACATATTACGGGTTGGAAGTGTATACCACGATCAACCTCACAGTTATCCGGTTATTGGTATTCTGGAAAAGTACTGAGTATCTTTTTGTTAGGGCTTGACAAGAGGTATTTTTATTTATCAGTAAGCTCATTCTTTATTCAAGAATTTAATTTACATCTGTCAATACTGAAATTAAAAACACTAATCTCAAACTTTTTGAACGGCAACTGGTAGTTTTGTAGAATCATGTGCATTTGTTCACTTTAGTTGTTAACCTTCGTGATCTAGTTCTCAATATTTTTAAACTTTATGAAATAACGTTGTTGAGTGTAGTTGATTACTTACTGGGTGATTTCCTTTCTTCCACAATGTCTAAAACAGAGTATGATGCACTGTGATGACGTATCATATGGCAAATCTTTTTCCACGGAATTAAAAAAGTACCATGGTCTAGAATTTGTTAATCATTTAAATGTCCAAATAATAAACTTTTCCTCCAAAGATGTCGTTTTGCTGTGAACGAGAAAACAGGTGGGGATAACCAGTTGTATTTGAATATAAAACCTCTTGATAAAATATAAGAACCATACATCGAGTACTTCATTTGCAAAATTCCATCATTTGTTCTTCAAATTATATATGATTCTTCTAATTCACAATTACTTTCTATTTTCGTTTTCTTCAACCTGATCTCAGCCTCCTGCTGCCTGGTTTTCCACTTCTGATTAGTGCTACATACTATTTATGTCTGTCGACGTAAGTAGCATACACCACAGTTTGAATAACGTAACATAAAATTGCATATGATATTTAATTTGCGTAGCACTATTTGAAGCACTAATACCATTATCATCAGATCATATATAAACATGGTTCGTACAAATATATGCACATTAATCGCTCACGTCACAATCACTTATCGTCCCAATATATAAGAGAGGGTTAAGATCATCCTGTGACAACCATAGAGGGATTAGTTTAACTAATATAATATCTAAAATACTAGCCTCGATAATTATCAGACGCTTTAACTAAGACTCGTGAACTGCAAACACGAGAGAATCAAGCTGGCTTCAGACCTGGTCGTGGCTGCATCGACCACATATTCACCATTCGTCAGGTACTAGAACATAGGCATACTTATCGGCGTCCAACAATGGTGGTCTTTCTTGACTTAAAAGCAGCATTTGACTCCGTGGACCGCGAGATTCTGTGGCAGTGTCTGTCATTGAAAGGCATACCTCAGAAGTACATAAACCTTGTGAAGGCTCTTTACTCGAACAGTACAAGTCGAGTCAGAGCTTATGGCGAACTGTCATCTGGTTTTGCAACTTCAAATAGTGTCTGTCAAGGCTGTCCACTTTCACCATTTTTGTTTAACGTCATCATAGACCTACTGATGGAAATAACATTCTCGTCGACTGAATTCTCGGGTATTGATCTCCTTCCAGGAGGTCCACTTGTCGGCTTAGAATACACAGATTCTTGGTGACATAGCTTAGAATCGATTACAATGGGGTCGGTGTATACACTCTCTATCTTCCCTTAAACTAAGAGATTAAAATCGCTTCATATCTTTCTTTCTACCAGCTAATTCTTTCTTCCTGTACTATATCCTTATACACAGTCTTTCTTTCATATATTACCACCTCTGAATCAACTACTTTTATGGATCCGGTGTCCATCTTGTTGTGTAATGAGGTATGGCAACTTGGACCGATGCATATATGTGCCTGATCCTACGTTGTAGCTGACTGACTGACTGACTAATCGCTCACTGACACATAGCTATTTACTTTTTGGTGCCGTTAAATTCTGTCTAACAAGTGTACAGTGTGACCACTATTATTAGCAACTGAATATCTCGATGCTCTGCATTTGATTTATAATTTTCAGAGGTATTCTATCGAAAACCATGAATACGCGTTGCTGTAATCGACCGGTAACACACAATTTATGTTGAACTATCGCGGTGATTTTCGGATTATTGTTAACGCTCAGTTAAATTCAGAAAATTATGTGTTTATAAGTTAAGTTAATCGACTTCTAAGCATTGGATCTCAGTTTGAAACCTTACTGCTAGCATCCATTTTGGCTTGGCTGCATGGGTAGTGTCATACAGATCATGCATTATCAGTTTACATCAAACCTGATTAATAAATGAGTCATGTGTGGATGAGTTATCATCCATTTTAAGATTTCCGCTATAAACATTGCTTTCATTTGTGAAACCACCTTATATATCTTATGTCAGTATAATATTTACTGTCAATTGTGTGGCAAATTGTGGAATGTTTTCGTTTACCTCAAGAATCTAAACAGTTAACTGATTTATGTCTGACTAGAATAAATAATTAAGCACATATTATTAATAAAAAAGGTCATCATAAACAGTGATTTTTACTACATTGAATCACTTCTCAAAATCTGATTTTATTAAAATCTAAATAGAAACTTTATATTAAGATTCTTGTATTTTATAATTCACATTAATGAATTGATTTACTGTAAATAACGTTGATAACCCGGTTGTTGTGAAATGTTGACAACTTTATTGTTTAACGAATAAAAATTAAAGGTAGTAATTTAGCATAAGGTCATGTTTACTTTATAGTAAATAAAACATTATTATTATCATTAACTATACACGTGTGTCATCGTGGCTGATTTTGTATTGAAGTTTATCTATATCATTTTGTGTCCTCCAGTCTCTTATCTACAATTAATCTGCATGCATTGATAACTATTGATTGACTTAATCAATTGTATTAAATTATACCCTTTTTAAACATGTTACCAAGTTGACTCATTATTTTTCTTTCTTTTTTTTATTTATTAAATTGTTACATAATCGCAATTAATATGTTCAATCTTATATTTATGACCAAAGATTATGATGATAATTATTGACATATTAGCTCATATTGTCTTTGTTGTAGCATTTTGTTTTTTTTAAAAATTGGTTATCTTATTGATAGAAATATCAAATCATATCAACTTTTATGAATTATTTTTATGGTGGTCATATAGTAATTATGAGAATATGAAATGTTATATGAAATGTTAATTCAAAAAATGAACAATGATATGATTTTGTACCTGTGTGTATTTGCAATTGTCTAGATAAAAATCTTTGTAAAACATCGTAATTTTATGACACTTATTTTTCAGTTCAATCTACATCTATACCAAACTGGAATGGCTAACGGTTGACTGTAAAAGATGTCTTATAAAAAAAAAGCTGAACTGAAAATTTTTGAATTTTTTAAACATGCAAAATATGAAAAATTACTTTAAAAATCATGCTAAATCATTTTGATAATCTTAAAAATGGGTATAACAGTGAATTGAAAATAGCTTATATAAATTATTATTTCTGTTCATTCGAATGCATTCTCAGCTTAGCAAGCCTAAAAGCTTTAAAAAAATATAGAAGACTAGCAAAGATTTCATTTGAACAGTCTTAATGACTTTTGATGCATAATGAATCGTGGTACACGTCTTACAAGTATAATTCATGTTCTGGATTCCTCTGCTGCTACCCCGTCAATGATATTCGTTTGTATATTTTGTAGGTATATTATCCGACTGTGTTGTGCAATATATTTTTATGTATTATAGGCTTCTCAGATTCAGTAGATTGCTATGTTTCTCCAGTGAATTGACAAACACAGTCTCGTTTGAAATTATCTTTTCAAATATAATATAGTTAACAGTAAAAATGGATAATCCTAGAATAACAAATAATTTGAACTAGTTTTGATATTTAAATAAAGTAACGCTGTTTGCCATCTCTTTTCTTTTTTCTACCATAAAAATGTTTGTTAGTATTATCTTGTTCATGTTATCCTTTTTTCATATAGCTCTTCAAATTTGCATATGCCTACAAATGTCGACGAATTCACGGTGGTTTTCCAAGTTTCCTCGTGGATCGATTGGTTTTCCGTAAGGTTAGATCGCTCATGGGTGGGCGAATTCGCTATATTGTTTGTGGTGGCGCACCGTTATCAGAAGATTCACAATTATTCACAAATATATGCATCGCACCTATTATACAAGGGTAAGGATTCTACTCCGACTATACAGGGAGATAAATTTATCGACTAAAAATGTACTCCGTGAAGGTTTTTCTAACATATCTCATGGTGAACAGACTAAATATGATGTCACATGTCAATATCACTATTTCATCAGGTTCTCACTAAGCAGGGAAGTCAAAAATCATTGGTTTGAGCACTTCACATTTAGCAGATATCCAGATCTCACTCCATTTGTTTTCCTTGAATAATAAAATTAGTTTCTTCAAACTTACACGATAACAAATAGCTTAACCTACACTTACTAAGTTGCTTTCTTCATTATTTTGTAGTGAACGAGAACACAAGCGGGGACAACCAGGTGTATTTTAATACAACACTACAGACTATCTTGGTCAGATCTGAGAGCCATACAGTAATACTTCATTTACAAAATATCCATCAATTGTCTCAGATTTTGTTGTTCCCTTGTTTCCGTACTAGTCACCCTCTTCTCGTGCTCTTCTCTTCTGTTTTCTCTACCTGCCTCCAGGCATTCCACTTTCTGTCAATATCAGTAGCATACACCGCAATTTGACTAACTACTAGTCACTAATTAACATGGTTTCCAATCAAGGTTTTATTTAAGACAGCAACTATCGATCCATAGTACTCTAAACATTAGAATTATTTATCTCTTTTCTACAATACCAATTGATCAATGATTGTGGAAGGGTTAATTTAATTCTTCTCAGTTCCTGTCGGTTTAATCATGATGTCATGTGTACTGTATTTTTTTGAATAACACATTCAATTTAGTTCAACAAATATATTTAACTACAGACCTCAGTGTTCTGATAGGGTTTTGCTGTGCGTAGAAATCGCTATTTATCAATTTCATCGAATGATGAACATTAGTTAATAATTGACTACGACGATATTTTACTTACTTACACCTGTTTCCCCTTGTGGAGCATAAGCTCCCGACCAGGGATCTCTAAATAACTGTTCCAGGCTTTCCTTCCCAATTGTTGTCAACTTCTGTTCATAATTTTGCTCTCTGCTCTAATTCTCTATCCCATATGTTCTCTGGTCTACGATGCGGTTTAATGGACTCTTCAGACTGTGTCCTGCCTATCTCCAACGTCGTTTCCTAATTTCCTCTTCATCTGTAATCTAGTTTAATCTCTACTACAGTAGGCTTTTCTGATGATTTCCAGCCTACGGGTCTTGAGTATTGTACACAGACAATATGCAGCAATTTGGAAGACTCTACCGGTCTCCCACATCGTACGAGCATTCCATGTACCTAAATAAGTGGTTTGTCTGGTTGTTAGAAGGGGCATCGGCTTCGTGGCTTACGAAGGAACTCGGCTTTCACCATGAGGCATCATAGTTCTTCTAAATGAAGACCTAACTCCCAGTTCAGAGTTTAAATGGTTTGAATTATTTTTTCGAGTTAGCGTCTTTTATAGCGAGTTAGTTTTCTACGGTATGGGGTCGCTAACCCTCCTCCTTTATGCGGGCTTAGGACCGGCAGTAGCCCCAAAGGGGGCTCCAGGCGGAGTTATGGTACATAGATAGTTGTTTATAAATAATTGATACTTTTTGATGATGGTTGCAGTCGTTCTCTGTTTTTGACTTCGTACATTAGAACCATCTCGGCATTTGTAAATATATCACTTCCTCATAATAAACACTAATCATATGTTTTATGCCGAGTACTTAGTTATTTTCCATATCGTTGTTATTCATGTAATGTTGTCTCTCTCTTGTCAAATGTGAATTTTTAGTTTTTGTATGTTTTATTTCCGAGAATTGTTTATAAGGAGTTATACAGTAATGATGAACTTTATTTCATAAATATTTTTACCAATAGTTTCATTATATATATATATATATATAGGGAGAGAGAGTAATTTGGCATAATTCTGCGCACTTTTCATAGATTTAATTGCAATAGTTACTAAACTGTTTACTTTTTTCATTTCAGTAGTTTTTTGTAAAAAGTTGACTATATCACACATTTAGTTTGCTTGGAAAATTAAGTTTAATTAGGAGGCCTGTTAACATGTATCGGGATATGGTTTACAGTGTCTTTTTTTAGATAAGTCGTTATCGTTAGAGTCCAGCTCGGATTTCATTTTTGAGACATCCAAAATCTAATTTCCTTCATAGGCTCAGATTTTGTTTTGTTGGGTTAGCTTAGACGGTAGGACAGTAGTATTTAGTGTTACACATCATGAGTACATAAAAGCATGTTTGTTCTTAGAATTATTTTACTTAATTGTTAAAAGCATTAAAGTAACTTAATAAACAATGTCTCGAACTAAATATTAAATTTAAACTGCTTTACTGGCAAATTTCTTTTAGTTATGGGCTTACTGAGTCATGTTCTACGGGCACTTTGATGGAATGTGGGGATCTGCGATGTAATCATTCTGGAGCACCTGCTTCTACTCTACAAATTCGTCTAAGAGCATGGCCTGAAGGTGGGTATTCTCCCTATGATACACCGTCTCCACGTGGGGAGATTCTTTTATCTGGTAAACCGGTTTCTCGAGGCTATTACAAACAGCCTGAATTGACAGCTAGAGATTTCATAACCGATCAAGATGGCACACGTTGGTTTTGTACTGGTACGTTTCGCTTAGTTAACTGTTCCTATCATGTTGATAAGTTTGTTTTGCTATGTTTTGACTTGAGATTATTTCAAATACGCAAGATATTTCTTGACAGTTATCATCAATCGCTTGATGATAATGATGTTAGCATGTATGTAATAAATGGGACTTCTACTATTTGAGCCTTCCTTCCAAGTGCACGCTCTACGAGCAGATTTAATTCCTCTGTCAACCTACTGTTTTAGATTGTTGCAAAATTATTGTAATTTCCAAAAGTCACTATTATGTTCTGTTTTCCCTGTGTACGCGAAAGAGACGCTAATTTGCCTTAGACGAATATCTATACTACATACCCTCTCAGTGTATATTCTACAGGACTTCAACACAACTCAGGTCAAGAACACGTGACTAGAACGTAAGTATATTTTCACATCAAAAACCGACAACAATCACAATGATAATAAGGGTAAGAGAATATATAATTCACCCAGTATCTGTCAGACTATCTACTAGTCTAACTAAACAAGCAACCAATCATCTTCCTCGCCCACATATCACTTTTGGACAATTTTATGAATTGTTTCAAAACTTATATTAGGATATCCTGATATGGAATTAACTTCGGTTTTATCGCTCATTTCTATCTTCATGTTCAATACATTCTGTAAATTATCGTGTTAATTAGTTTTTATACACAAATGTTTTTGTGTGTTACATTTTATTCTTATTAATCTATTTTTCAGGGGATATTGGTCTAATGCATACAGATGGAAGTTTATCAATTATTGACCGTAAAAAAGATCTTGTTAAACTACAAGCTGGGGAATATGTTTCCCTTAGCAAAGTTGAAATGGCTCTTAGTCAATCAGTCTATGTTGAACAAATTTGTGTTTATGTGGACCCGATGCAAAATTATCCAATCTGTTTCGTGTCGCCGAAATTAAAATCGCTTACTGACTTAGCAGAATCTTTGAACTTAGTTCACTTACTTCATGAAGCTCGTTCAAAGCTTCCTATAGAATCAATGAAAGATTCCATTGCTATAGAACATGTAGAACGGGCTGTTCTCTGTAAACATCCTCAAGTGAGTCTTATTCATTTAGAAAAATATGGTTGTAATAAACAATTGAATTCGGCCATAATATGTCATCTTATGATATAATGTTTCTATATTTACTTCGTGTTAAAGCCGTTGTCTGTTTACCTTATGATCTTTTGATTCAAGGTCAGTTCATTTCGCCCTATTACTACATTTAGGCTCGTTATAAAAGTCACACCATATGGCGTGATATGAATGTCCTTTCTAAGGTCTCTCACGTCTCTGCTAATCTTATTGGCCAATAAGCGTGTGTCAGGTATAAGTAAAGACACACCTACAATTGATTAACTTTTATATAACATATTATGTAATTGATGGATTAATGTCATGATAAAATTGTTTACTTTGTTTGTCTAAAGTTGTATAACCAAGTCCCTTTCGTATCTAATCTATTTGTCTATTAATTTTATAGTCTTGTGTATTATATTACTGGATAAAATAAACTTTCATTTCCTTGCCTGACTACTACTTAATCCCCCCAATCACCATTGTAAAACGGGGTGAATTTCAATTCATTTGTATTGGTTGCTTGAATCTTCTCGCTGATGTTATGGGCTGCATACAGTTGATCCATCTCTTTTGGCTTGATATTGCCATTCAGACACAAGCCAGTGTCTATCTGAACTCAGCAGCTAAATAAATGATACGGTGGGTGTTTGAGGCAAAAGTTACTCGGTTCGGGTCCCGGTGCGAGTATCAGCACGGATGCACGTACATTCTCCTGATGAGTTCTAAATGTGACGAAACGCTTGACCTGGATTCCACGGTTAACCACCGTCTATTTCTGCTTAGGATACTTGTGACTTACTGGGAATATCAAAGGGATCCTCAAAAGTTGCACATATCCCCAAAAGAGACTGATCGATCTCATACAGTCTATAACATCAACAGGAAGATTCAAAAAACTAATAGAAATGACGAAATATTTATCTGTTTTTGTGATGTATGGCGCCAATTAATATTTGGTTAGGTTAATATTAAAATACCTCATTGATATTATTGTTTAATTAGCTGATGTAAAAGTAAAGTGATGTATATTATAATCTAGCTATCGTAACTAAAAGTTGTCTGTGTGATCATTTCAAACGAAATTTTAGTTTTGTTTAACTGTCGTTTCAACATTTTTAATTTGACCATCTATTTTAATCATACAAACTTGTGATACAACCATAGTTAAAATAAGCACTACACATTTGTCAAGCGGGTGGTGATTACGATCGACAACTTTGAAGCGTTCCAATTTCAGTGAGGATGAGTTCAGTCACTTTTGTCTATGACTAAAATCTATTAGGAGATTTTTTCACAATATTCATTTGTAGTTTTATTCTTTTGTCTCAATGTTGTTATAAGTGTTCTATTAGCTTCAATAATACATCGACGCAGACTAGAGAAAACCAGGCCGGTTTTCGACCTGAACGTGGTTGTATAGACCAGATATTCACACTACGTCAGGTTCTAGAACACACACACGTTCAGACGCCCCACAATCGTAGTATTTCTCGACCTTGAGGCAGCATTCGACTCTGTTGATCGTGAGGTTCTATGGTAGTGTTTGTCACTGAAAGGAGTACCAAAGAAGTACATTAACCTTGTAAAGACCAAAACATGGCACAAGTCCATGAAGTCATTGACAAGTGGACTGAGCCATGTTGGTAGGTGTATACTACCAGGTTGGGACCCGCGAAACGATAACAACCGATAGTTAGAGACCTTGAATGACATGGCTCAAAATCGTTTGCAATGGTGCAGGTGCATCCACTCTTTGTGTTCTCCCAAATTTTGATCTCCTGATTCCTCCTTGTCTCTTTTTTCTCTTCCCAAGTTTATTTCACTGGATTATACTCTTTCAATAACATCTCCGAAACCTAATCTTTCCGATCACTGTTTATACTTTTACTACCTCTACCACTATGCGATTTGAATCGACAACTGCATCTTTGTGCTAATATGGTATGGCAACCAGAACTGATGTACGTACGTACGAAGTTCTACGTTGTTACTGACTGACTGATTTTCAGATGGTGATTAATTCAATATACTATATGCCCAATGTATTGCCTATCGTTAATAAATTTACCATTCCTATTTTTGTGATTGAGATGTCTATTATCCTCAGCTAATGGGTTTGTTTGTGATTTTAAATCATTCGGAGGCATAATTTATTGGTCTGGTCTGGTGAGCAGGCATCATTCGACCACACTTTGTATCACTATTTATCATCTACTGATCAGCATTCTTCACGTTCGTTTTAACAATCGAACATTTCGTTCACCATCGTCTCATTATTCTAAATTATTTTCTTGAAAATAAATTTTGCAGGTAAAATTATAAAGTCATATAACTTGAGAATAATGTCACACTAACATGTGATTTCTATCAACCGTTACTCAGTTCTGATATGTATTAGTTAATTGTCAAATGTCTTAGTGGTATATATTTACTTATAAATCACTTGTTCAACTTATCCTTTTATATTTAAATTTCAATTAAAGTGCTTCTCTGTTTTTTTTTCTCTCTTCATTATTCTAGATTATACAAGCTGTATTAAAAGATTTACAACGAGTTGCCAGAGAAAAACGTTTAAGTACATTTGAAATACCACAAAAAGTTGCTTTAGATACTATAGCTTGGACACCAGACACTGGTCTTGTAACGGATGCATTAAAATTAAAACGTTTCAACTTACAAACTCGTTTTCAACATGAAATTGAAGAACTTTATCGAAAGGATACACGAGCGTAATTATTCAATTAATAATAAATATCCTTCACCAAATGAAATATTGAAATGTATGCAGTACATTCCGTCTTCATCATTAGTATTTAATATATGTGTGAATGAGTATAATAGCAACAGCTTATTTGTATTAAACCTTTGAAATAGATTCAAACAGTTATCAATTAAATCATATAAACCAACAATATATATGAAACATGTATAGTATTAATCATATTAACGAGTGAAAATAAAAATTGAATAAAACAGAATGAAAAAGACGTGTACCTTTGGAGATAACCATTTTAAATACACTAGTTTGATCGTCAATGGTACGATAATTATCATTAGTATTAATATTACTACTGTTACCAAGATAAACAGGAAGAAGATATATGAATTGATGACAGATACAACTCTACGAAAGCTGACAAATCAGAATGAGCGAAAGAAGTATACCACATAGAAATCATATCATCCACATTCATTTGTGACTTCCTTAAATTTCTATGTGGTATACTTCTCTCACTCATTCTGATTTGTCAGTTTTCGTAGAGTTGTATCTGTCATCAATTCATATATCTTCTTCCTGTTTATCTTGGTAACAGTAGTAATATTAATACTAATGATAATTATCGTACCATTGACGATCAAACTAGTGTATTTAAAATGGTTATCTCCAAAGGTACACGTCTTTTTCATTCTGTTTTATTCAATTTTTATTTTCACTCGTTAATATGATTAATACTATACATGTTTCATATATATTGTTGGTTTATATGATTTAATTGATAACTGTTTGAATCTATTTCAAAGGTTTAATACAAATAAGCTGTTGCTATTATACTCATTCACACATATATTAAATACTAATGATGAAGACGGAATGTACTGCATACATTTCAATATTTCATTTGCTTTTATTCTGTTTCTTGTCTAAATATTTACTGTCTCACCTATTGATTTTTTCTTTGTAGTTTAATGTATTTCTGAAGACATTGTCTTGAAGACATTTGTTTATGTTTTATAATCTTAGTTCGATGTTCAATTATTTTATTCTTTTTTGGTATTAAATGTAACAAATGATGTAACTCATTCATCTCATAAGTTTATTATTGACACTTCATTATCAATTCAATTTATTGGATTATTTGATGTAGTTTATGTGTATATGCATCTATATTTACAAACATCTTCAGTACATTCACCTTACTTCCACGCATACACATTTACTCTTTCATTCATTTTTCACCAATCTTTGGAAAATACACATCGTTGCTTTATTTACATGCAACATTAGTTGATAACAAGTCTTTGTGTCTGTATTGATTTCACTTACTATTTACTTCATCCTTTTGTAAATTTTCATATTTGTTTCCTATAAAGTAAAAATTATTCGCGGAATATTTTTCTTAACATTCCCCTCCTTAATTACCAAGAGTTTTGCATTACTAAGTCTAGCCAACTGTTGTTACCTTTCCCATACTATTTGGTTGAGAGAAATTAATTAGATTTAATTATCTTTGGGAAGTAAATGCAACCACATTTGGAATTGCATTGTGCTTTCTCTAATTTTATTTCATATTCCCAAAGTGCTTTTTTTATTTTATTTCTCTACCTTCAAGACACTCATGGACGTGGAGTATACGAACAATGGTTCAGTTTTCTGATTTTTGATAAATTTCTAGGGTGCTTCATGGCAAGTTAGTCTTCACCCTCAATTATTCACTGAGGAGTCAGGGAATTGGCTGTTTTATTTATCATAGGAGTCTTGCACTCACTGGGTCGGTGTTTGACAAAATATGCTTTCTCCTATCAACCACTTCATCTTTGCCACAGGCGAGATGTACGTCTGTCTACTAAGCTACGAATTTCCTCTGTTCTACTGATTTTTAAAAATAGAAAGCGTGTGTAAACCGTCAGTGTTTGCAACAATGATTACAATGAAATAAGTGAAGAGTGTAAACGTGTGTACGTCGAAAATTTCTTATGGTATTTATTTGTTTGAACACATAAATACTGGAATACATATGCGCCACTGCCCGGGTGCCCAAACCGAAGCAGGTGGTTTTCTTAGGGGGGCACATCTGGAGCCTTTGACCTAAAGGTCTGGTCCGCAAGGCAGAGGGGCATTGTAAGGAGATAGAGTCCCATGGTAGCCGGTGATCAACGATTGGTTCATACGCCATTTGTTCCCTTAGGATACTGGAGCCTTTGTGCGCCATTGGTTTGGAGTCAGGGTTTTCCAACTTCCCTAGGTGGACTCTGCGTTTCCACCAACCCGGTTAAAGCGCCGGACATTCGCTTTTCATCATCTCAATTTCGTGAACAACACCCGTGGCGCGAGAAGGCAGTGAGTAGGACTTCTCTGGCAGAGACTATATACGCGTGGCCATGTGAGAGCATTTCGAGAGGGAGAGCGGACTCTCCCCACTCTCGACCGTACCAGGGCATTTGTGGGTTTATGGTAGTTCGTCTCAAAAGATAAAAGTTATGTTGGGTGGGTTTTCACGTATTTCTACTTCACAGTGCTTTGTTTGGTCTGATCTTGTATGCTGTCTTAGGTCATAGTTCGGTATTCTTATGCAATTCGCCATCGGACCTTGGAAGTGTAACAAATAGTGTACTAGCTTGAAGTTTAGTTTAAGATTGAAATTATTGTGTGTTTTCTAGAAAGAGGTCAAGCCTAATGTATCACATCATGTAAAGTAATTCTAACTACAATCCACTCCCGAATTTTTCCCCGTAAGTATCGCTTTATTCCTTTGATTTTAAGTTCGTCACATGCGTAACTTCTGTGTATGAGCGAGCATTATTTAACGAATGAGATGATACAGAATACGTGCCTTCGAATCAACGGACTTATCTTCAGAGTATGTTGAGTCATTAGAGTATCTTTAGTCAAGGTCTAAGATTGATTGTTCGCATTTAAGGGAACTGGTAAGAGAGCGAATTTGATTTGTGCGTAGTATTCGGTGGCTGGAGGTTGTTGACAGGAAACCCTGGACCCGGGTTTCATGGTACCATCTAAACTCAACATAGTGCACGCAGTTTCGAGTCACCTAGACTGGTGGCCACATTGCAACATGGTCGATAGCATTCGACCTGTACTCATAAGGACTTGACACTGATCACCACCCAGTGATCAATCAATTGTGATTACATCTCAATCCTACAGCAGATCGGTCGCGGTCCAGACAGCTCAGTGGTAACGTCTCTGACTGAAAGTGGGTGACACGAGATCGAATCCGTCAGGGAGCACCAGTTCCCTCAAGATTACATGTAAACCTTGCTGACGAGTGCCAAGTAGCACGAAACCCTGGTCCAGGGTATCCTGTCGACTACCTCCATCTAACTTGTTTTATTCATTTCTGACTACTGCTCACGTGATGTGCCACAGTAACTGGCGTAGATGTTGGCTGAGTAAGGGTTTGTGACTAAATGATGGCTTGGTGTCTGGGTGTATCATTTTTTGGGTTAGTTTTGTCTGAAGCAGGTGACGTGTGTGATAGTATTAATCAATGGTTTGGAGATTTGAGTTATGTAGATGTGAATTGGTTACAATATTGGACGTAGTGTTGTTCTACACTTCCATCCCTAGTTTCTCTTAACTGTTGCATTTTACTTCTATCATCTTACTGTTCTAATTTTAAGCGTAGTCACTTAGGATTAGATTTGCACCAAGCCCTGTGTTTATTATATATGCCTGTTTGTGGAATTGTCCATTCTCTTGTCTAGCCCAATTTGACTTGAAATTTGTGATCCAATCGTCCGGAACCGCACTACACTTTTACTATTAGTAAATAAAAATAGAAGTGTTAAATCAAGTTTGATTTGATATTGATTCCATTTAACAATGGTTTTTATTTTAAACGTTTGTATTGAGAATAAAACAAGCGAATATGTAATCATTTGTACTAAGCTGGGTTATATACTTTTCACCTATCAATAAAACTTGAAAATACCTTAGATCTTTTAGATTTTTCTTTAGACATAAGACATTCTATATAAGTTCCTATTTATTGGGGCTGAAACGTTTTTAAGGATTTCATCTAATAGTTAATCTTGGATCCAAGCTTTCAGGTAATCTTTCGACTTGTGGTTCTTTTATTTTTTTACAAACTAAATATAAGTTATAAATTTCACAAGTTGAAATCATGAGTCAGTTGAAGCTAGACCACCATTGAAAACCTGGAAGCACTGGACGGCCGTTTCGTCCTGGTATGGGACTCCTCAGCAGTCCAGTGCTTCCAGGTTTTCAATGGTGGTCTAGCTTCAACTGACTCATGATTTCAACTTGTGAAATTTCTTAAACTCTCCACAAAAAACCATTCTGATAATAAGTTATAAACATAAATGTTAATCAACTATTACATATGTTAATCTACTGAAAGGTAAGCTGTTCATATATGTTAGTCTTATTTTTGTTATATCATTAGTTTGTTCTCAATATTGTCAAAATAAAAAGTACCAAAATTAGCTCCAAAAAATAGAAAAAAAAGCATTTTAATTCGAATTACCTCTTATTTTACTCTGTGTACTTTGGTTTTATAGTTTTACTATTCAGTAATCAACTAATCTTGATCATCTGATACTATAACATTCTATATTATATTCACTAAACTTGACTAGTTAATTGATAGAAGCAAAATATCGCTCATAAATTTAATTTAGTACTTTTCTTATATGGTGCATATAACTTTTAATGAAACTATAATTAATATACTGGAAACAATGTCGAAATTTTAATTCCGTTTGCTGCTTTTATGAAAAATTTAAAAAAATTATTATATTGCTTAGTTACTAGTAATTTTTATTTTATTTCAAGAAGAAACCTAACTTAAGTGGATGTGTGATATGACCTTAAAAAAAACAATGGAATCAATAAACATAAATTATTTTCCAGAACTATTTGACGTTATAAATAAATTCAATGTTCGATATCCAGCATTTTTGAGCTTTTTGTCGGTTGGTTTTTTTTTGTAAGTGTTGCACATAAGAGTGTAATTTTCACTGGAGATTTCAAGTTATCCATCTTTGCTATGTGCATATCAGTGTAGCTTATCCCAGAATGAAAAAACAAAAATAATAGGGAGTTAGAACTTGAACTGAAATCGCCAGTGGAGAATCGACACTCATTTATCATATGAACAGGAAGATGCTGAATACCTCTCTCACTTGCTGAATACTCACTTTCCAGAACTCAACTGCTACCACCATCCCGCTCATAAATGAATACCTTCTGTGTAAGAAAAACCGACACCTACCATCCAATAACAATGATTTAAAAAGTGATATCACTGGGTATTATTGTTTGAATATGTATATAAAATTCCATTAATTTGTGGAATAATAGTCTTCTTTTGATTAGAATAATCAAGCTAATACGAATGTAAATTCAATCTTGAACCTGGTCGAACAACGTGAAATTTATTCCTAAATATGATGTTTCTTTTAGAGTTTCTCTTCCCAGAAGCATTAAAGAGCGCACTCGAGGAAGGCTAAAAGCCACTTACTGTCTAATCTAATGATGCACAAGTCCGACATCAAACATCAGTTCCTTCAAGGTCACAAGCATACCTTGCTGACAAGCGCTAAATAGCTGGAAACCTAAGTCCACAATATCCTGTCGACTACCTTCAATCACCACCTTACATATCAACATGGTACACGCCACGTCGACTCACTTAGACTAGTATCCACATTTCAACTTTCTCAATTAATTATAAACACCCCAGTTCTATAAACGTTGTCAGTTGCGGTCCGAATAGCTCAGTGACAAGGACTCAGATTGTGAAGCTAATTGACACTGAGTCAGATCTGTAAGGCAGCACCAATTTACTCAAGACTACAGATACGTTGTAATGATAAGTGTCAACTAGCACAGAATCTAGATCAACCAGAGTCATCTGATAACTACCTTCAACAGGAAAGATATTTTTTTCGAATAAAGGTACAAGTTAATTGTGAATTTTTGGTTAGAATGCAACAAAAAGTTTAAGTGTCTTCATTTATCGGCTTATGTAGAAAGATGTCATTGAAAAAATATGCATTTGACATTTTTCTCTATCCTGTCAATTCCATATGAAAAATACTAAACAGATATGTACCAAAAAAATGTATTAAGACAAAAATTGTCCTTCGATTAATTTTCATCATTAAACATGATATGATTTGAGTTGATATATAAATTGCTTCAATAGTAGCTTATATACGTTTCATATTTTAACTGGAGTTCTTGGATTTATCTTAAAACAATTTACCAGAGTATAGTTAGTAGATTTTATGGAATCTCGTATAAAATTCTCTGTAGATCCCCAACCACAGTTGTTATTTAGTGGATGTTGTAATATTCAGTACATTTTATCTGGAATAAAACCTATGAATTAAATGCATAATAACTACATCCTAAATAGTGGATATATTAATACTTTTTATTAATATTTAGATTTATTACTGATATAGCTTTGTTTTGTAGGTATTATTATTATTTTCATCTTCTAGCACAAATGTTACTTTGACATTCAATCAACCTATTACATTCTGTTCAAATTTTGATCAAATTGCTTGTATTAGTCCTATTTTCCGATTCTATGCTGGTTTATTTATTATAGCTTACGTTTTTAAAGTTTAATTATTGCTGGTAAATCAATCCATTAACTTCTCGTTGTTTTTTTTTACAATACTCTTTACTGCTGGGTGAATTTAAGAAAGCTTAAACCGATGACTTATTTTTGCTCTATTCTGTCTCGAATACACTAAAGATGATATTTCATACAACTCCATATGATACTTTGTATCCAGTGAATATTATTTCAATGAATGTTAAGCAGAGATGGATGATGGATAGCAGTGAAATGTAGGGCGCTCCTTTCGTCCTATTTGAAATT